CTGAGACGTCTAGAGGAGCCTTGAGGTCACGCAGTGACACAGTGTATGGCTCAGCTCTGGGGGTCATTTTGAGTAGGTTTGCACCTGGCTCAGTGGCAAGGACAGGTGTAGACAGGTCCACACCTGGACCTTGCCTGCCCACCTGCTCAGGGGCTCCTGCAGACTCTGGCCTCAGCTTGATCTGCCTGGCTCCTGCTGTCTGCTCTACCATCCCAGCCGGGAGACCCTTCCCCCTGGTCCCAGCCGGGCTGAGGCCCTCCTCGGGCCTGGCCTCAGTGAGCAGTGGGCCACCCAGCGGAGGGAGAGTAGAGCCTGGGGAGCTCGAGGGCCCACTGCCCTTGCCGCCTGCAGCGCGCCTCTTCTTCCGGCTGGGGCTCCGTGGCGCGGCTCCAGGGCTGCCATGGGGCCTCTGGGGGACAGTACTGAGGCCAGGGGACTCTGAGCTTCGAGGAGGCTCAACAGTGGAAGTTGGGGCAGTGCCCCGGGGGGCTGGCTCCTGCATGAGCCTCTGCGTCTCGTCTCTGGAAGACACTGGGAGGGAGGAGCTCTGGACGGGAGGGGCAGCACCAGAGCCAAGGGGCAGCCAGGCTTCTGACCGTGTGGACGTGCTGGGTGTCTGCTCACCGGCCGCCAGGGCCAGGACAGGCTCATGCCAAGACCTGCTGACCAGCTGCCGGGTGGCTGCCTTGTCCTCCTCCACCAAGCCGGGCCAGCCACTGCCCCTGGGAGCCAGCTGCCCCTCAACAAGGGGCGGGGGCCCAGGGGGACTGCTGCCACTGCTATCCTGTTGGTCAGTGTCACTGGACAAGAGCTCATCCCCAGAGGCCAGGCCGGCATGCAGGAGGCCACACTCTTCGGCAGCGGCCGAAAACTCAGCCCAGTCCTGGTCACTCAGCTGGACACTGTACTGGAAGTTCTCCATTTCGGGTCAGCAGAGGCACATAAGCCACAGAACTAGGGTCTTCACAGACCCAGGCCCGGGGCCCCAGCCGGCACACGCTGCCACCACCCTGCTCACCCCATGGGGTGTCCCCCCACTGCCTGGCTCGGGGGCCAGCACTCCATCTCCATCCTGAAAGAAAGCAGAACAAACCAGGAATCCAGAGGGAAGCTGGGCTGATCTCAAACCTGATTGCTTCCTCGAGTCAGAACGTCGGCGACTCCCACTTTCCCTGTTCCCAAACTGACTGCAAATGCTAACGTCACAATGACATATTGCTGCAGTCCTGCAACCAAATACGGCTTTAGATTAGTGAAGTCTGCTGAGAAATAGGGTTCCTCACGTCTGAGCTGTCTTCCCCAGGAGGAGCTTTTCTTCCCCAACTTCGTGCACTTTCTGTTCAGCTGGGGCAGCCTCACATCCTCCAACTTCCCTCCAGAGCCATCGGTTCCAAGGCCAACCTAGTCCAGCAAAGCCCATTTCAAGAACCACCCCCCAGAAGTCAGTTCAGCTGGGGGATGGCCATCCCTGGACTGTCCCAACATACCCCCGGCCATGGGGGGCAGGCTACAGTGTTCAGCAGGTGACCAGACTTTGGTGGTGACCTTCCACCAGCCTTGGCTGGGACAGGCTGCTGAGCTTCCTCTGAGCTGACCAAGGTCGTGCTGGTGCTGGCCGGGGCCAACTCGAGGGTCATCGGGGAGAGCCTGGCTCTTCCCAGGCCCAGGCAACAGGTCCCAGGACAGAAATGGGCCCCCTGACTCCCCCCGGCCCCTTAGGGCCGTCCTCAGGGTCTGTGCCCCTGACCCAGCCCTGCCCAGCTGGCAAAGCCCCCCTTCCCTTGGTCTCAGGGAACCAAGGCAACCCTACCTGGCTAAGAGCCCCTAACCTCTCAGCCCCTATGCCCTTTGGCCTTTGGTCAGCTGCCACTGGACCCAGGGAGGTGGGAGATTGCTCTGGCCAGGCTAGTCCTGAGATGGAGAAGCCTCGAGACCAGGGCACAGGGGCTTCCTGACTCGTTGAACTTTGTTCTCCTCTCTGGTTCTAGGGGACTTCCCTATGGGTGCTGTCCGCTTTGGGAACCCTTAGTGTGGGAATGAGGGGCTGGCCGTACCATACCTGGGACCCCACAGCCAGCTGGGGTAGCGGAGCTGGGCGTCCAAGCTGCCTGTCCCAGAGCGGCATGGTGCTGGCTTCACCACACAGGCCCCACCCCCATTGCCAAAAATACTCCAGCCCTGTGGTCACATGTGTCCTGCCAGGAGTCAGGGTCCAGGCCACAAATAGATGGCATTTGAGGAGCTTCCAGCTACGTGAGGGACACCTTCCCGGGCAGGTCAGGTGCCAGTCAGAGAATGCTGACCAGCAGTCGGGACCGCAGGCGCCTCCCTTTCCCAAGCTGAAGGCTGCTCTGCCATCCATCTTGGCAGCAGCCTGCCCTTTTCTCTTAAAGTGATCCTGCTCACTGTGAAAACTCAGACTCCGACTCCTCCCATCACCTCTCCTGCCAGCAGCGCCCCCGAGACCAGGCCAGGCCCCTCGGGGTCTCAGGGCTTTACCCCGACACCTGTGGGGAACAGAGACAGCTACAGAGTGATGAGCTGGGAAATGACTGGTTCTGGAATGTCCCTAGAGGTCATGGATGTGGCCACTGCTGACTTGGGTCAGGGCTTGCGCTTCCCTGGTCCGGCCCCTCCCCCTGGCAGCACTGTTGAACCTGCCAGTGGGGCTTGGGAGACAAGTGGGGGCCTTGAGGGCTCTCCGGGGAGGACACTCACATGGGTGCGGGCCTCTGGGGAGGGTTGAGAGGCGTCAGGTCACTCCTGCCAGCATCTCTCCTGACCTAGGCTCCTGCTGATGGAGCCCAAGGTAGGGGTGGCAACACAGCCTGTCCCTCCAGGAAACGGGGTCTGCTGCTGCCACCCCAGGTCACCAGGAGAAAACATGCAGGAGACATGGCCTCTGAGAACAACAGCCCCTTGCAGTCCCCCTGAGCACTTTTCCAAAACAAGTCCATCCTGAGATGGATGCCAGGAGGACCCAGTTTCATAGTTGAGCTTGGTAAGGCACAGAGAGGGTGAGTGACTTGTGCACAGCCACACAGCTAGAAAGTGGCAGAGTTGGGCCCCAAAGCCCCTGCTCTGAGCCATCCTACTTTTGGGGCTGGGGTCTGGCCTCCCGCTGGGGGATAAAGGAGGGAGTAGGGGAGTCAGACAACAAACATCTAAACTAGCAGGTAAATAAGGTCACTTCTGACAGCAGCACAGGACGTAGAGAAGGGAGGAGGGTGACCTCTGAGGGAGTCTGCGGGACGAGACTGGGTGGGCTGGGGACCATGAGGGCCAAGGCCTCGCGGGGAAGGGGAGCGAGGTTAGGAGGCCGCCTTAGCTGCCCTGGACACCCCAGGTGGTGAGCCTGGCCAGGGAGGGAGCTTCACATAAATGGCAGAAAACCCAGGTTCCTTCCTGTGTCCCTCCTGTGAGCCTCCTTTACTATTCACACAAAACTGCACCCTGATCACCCAATGTGGGGGGTGGGGCATTCCCACAGCAGGCAATTGGGTGACAGCTGGGTGTCCCACAGGTTAACTCCGTTCTGACACTGTCTGGAGATGGTGTCAGATCCCACAGGTTGGGGGCTCAGTCCCACAGACTGCCCCCCACTACAGATGCCAGTCGCAAGTAGCAGGTCCCCAGGTCACCCACTTGGCTTCTGTCTGACTTGGCTACAAACTGGAGGTCCCCATGACCCCCTGCCCCTGGAATTAAATTACTTTGCTAGAGCAGCTCCCAGAACTCAGGGAAACATTTACCAGTTTATTAGGAAAGGGTACAATGAGGGACACCCTCACCGGCACCACCACACGAGCACCAAGTGGGATTTCTTGGAGGCTTCCTCACACAGGCAGGATCAATTATTAACCCCATTTTCAGCCCCTCTCCCCTCTCAATGGCATGGGGGTGGGGCTGAAAATTCCAAGTCTGATCAGACTTGGTCTTTCTGGCGACCAGCCCCTCCCCAGGAGCCTCATCAGAGCGGAAGAGGGGGAAGAGGCCCCTCGCCAGGAGGAAATTCCTGGGGAGCTAGGAGCTCTGTGCCAGGACCCAGGGCAGAGACCAGTGCAGATGCTGTCCCCTAGTCGTCTCACAGTCTGCCCCCCACCCCCACCATCAGGCTCTGGCGTCAGCGGCTGGGGTCTCGCTGGTCAGCTTCCGCTGAGGGTGGTCCATGTGTCCCTGGGCACCCACTGCATCATTTTCCAGTGGGTGGAGATTTGAGTGGTTTCCCTACTGCAGCTATTACAAAGAGTGATGCTATGAACATCCTGGAACATTTCTTTTCGTGGTTTTGGAGAGTCGTGGTGCTTTGTCCAGCTCTGGAGGACACTGCCCAGAGGTTTTCCAGAATGGCTGTCACTGGCCCCAAGTGCAGGACACAGTTGGTCATTCTGTGTGCTCCGTGTCCACGGCCACACCCTCGACTGTCACCCAGTGGCGCTGCACTGTAGTTGCAATTCAGTTTCCTTAATGCTGAAGTTATTGGCCTCTGGCACCTTCTTTTGTGAAGATCTATGTCTCTTCAGTGCTTCTGCCACTTTTCTATGCCTTTTTCTTATTGATTTTTAGGGGTTTGTTACCCATTATGGGTAAGAATTTTTTTGAATGTTTGTATTCTGAATACCTCCCCCCGTTCATCTCGCCTTTCCACTCTCTTAACAGTGCCATCTGATGAACAAAAGTTTTAAATTCCAACATAGTCCAAGTTGTCAGCCATTTCTTTTCTCTTTATCACTGGTTCTCTCCTTTTACAGAGCTCTTTGCCTGCCCCAAAGTCATGAAGGTTTCACGATATCCTTGCATGTTTTTAAAGCTTCATTTTAATTTTCTCACTGGGACTGCAACCCACATGGTACTGATTTTCATGGATGGTGGGGGATGAGGGTCCTGACACTTTTCTGTTTCCATGTGGCCCAGTTGGCTCAGGTGGTCCGCATGTGTGTCTGTCTACATGGACGCAGCTGCGGAGCCCCCCCATGGACTCCTCACAAGAGGAGGTTTGGATGGTTTGGGACAGGGGCTTTGCAACAGTTGCCATGGGTGCCCTGGGAGAAGGGGGTACAGGGTCGGTGGGGAGGCTGTGTGGAGGGCACTGGTGGATCTGGTTTCTTCGGAAGACCAGCTGTCGCTGAGGTTACCCGAGGCGGCCCGTCCCTCCATTCCCACCCTGATCATGGGCCTCCTTGTGGGAGGGCTCTAGAGCGCACGGGCACCTGCGCGTTTCTGACCCAGCTCCGCGACCCGCGAGCGGTGGGGTGGATGGATGGGCAGAGGAGTCGCGGGAGAGTGGGGTCGCTGGGCAGGCGGCCTGAAGCACCTCTGAGCGCCACCGGAGGGCGCGCGGGCTCCACCAGAAGTCGGCTGAGCGGGCGGCGCCCCGGCCCTGGTCTGGGCGGCGCTTTGGGGGACGCCAGGCTCCCTGCTGCCGCCCTGTAGCCCACTAGGAGCCCTTGACCTTCGCTTGGCAGGGTAACCACGTTTGCCACTGGTCGACTTCTGAAGGTGGGAGGCCTCAGAGCCACACGGGCAGCATGACGATGAGGAAGGGAAGCGATGAGCTTCTGCTTCTGCGGCGGAGACCAGAGAATAAACTGCGCGTATTTAGAGCGTAAAGTATTGCCACGTGTGCACACCCGGGAAGCCATCGTGACCCTCCCGAGAGTGAACGTGCCCGCCGCCCTAAGGGTGTCTGCGCCCTTGGAGACGCTTCCCTCTCTCCCCCCCGCCCCAGCCCCCGCGCGGCTGTCACAGGCGGTGCCGTCCAGGACTTCACGTAAATGGGGTCAGGCAGTACACACTCCTCGGTGGGGTGCAGATAAGTGCGGTGTGTCTGGCTTGGGTCCCTGAACGTAATTATTTTGAGATTCATGCCTGCTGTTGTGTATACCAATAGTCCTTTTTATTGCTAATAAGGAGTGTTGCACTGTTGGATATGTCGAGGTTTATCGGTTCACCTGTTGATGGAGATTTGGGGTATTGCATATAAAGCTGCTATGAACATTTGTGTTTAAGTCTTTGTGTGGACCTATGCTTGCATTTCTCTTGGGTAAATACTTCCGGTGGAATGGCTAAGCCATATGATAGGCATGTGTTTAACCTTTTAAAAAACAGCCAAACTGTTTTCCAGTGTGGTAACCACTTTTCATCCCCACCGGGAGCACATGAGAGTTCCAGTCACTCCACATCCTCACCAGGACTAGATCTGGTCAGGCTTTTTGACTTTACCATTCTAGTGGATGGTTAGTGGTGTCTCCTTGTGGGTTTAATTTGAATTTCCTCAAAAACTAATGTTGAGCATCTTTTCGTGTGTTTAAATGCATCCATATATCTTCTTTCATGAAATGACTGATCAAATCTTTTGCCCATTTTCTTAATTCGGGTATCTGCTTTCTTACTGCTGAGTCTTAAGAGTTCTTCATGTGTTCTGTATATAGGTTGTTCATCAGACACATGATATGAAACTATTTTCTCCTAGTCTGGCTCATCCTTTCATTTTCTTATCAATGTCTTTTGAAGAGCAGTTCTTAATTTTGATGAATTCCAATTTACCCATTTTTGTTTCGTGGATTGTTTTGGTTGTATCCAAGAAATCTTTGCCTAACCAAAGGTCACAAAGATTTTCTAAGTTTTCTCCAAAATAGTTTTATAGTTTTGTGTTTTGCATTTAGGTCTACAACCCATTTTTGAGTTACTTTGTGTATGTGGGTCAAGATATGGTTCTAGTTTATTTTATTTGCCTATGGATATCTAATTGTGCACGTACCATTTGTTGAAAAGATTCTCTCCACTGAATTGTCTTAGCACCTTTGCTGAAAGTCAACTGACCATATAGTCATGGGCGGTTCTATTTCTGGAATTTTTTGTATCTTTAGTAGCTCCAACACATTCAGTCTTTCCTCAAGCTCCTTGAACATGTAAAGTGCAGCTATAAGGACTGTTTCATTGTCCTTGCCTATGAATTCTGTCATCTGTGACACTTCCGGGTTGCTTTCAGTTGACTGACCTTTCTCCTTATTATGGGTCATGTCTTCCCACTTCTCTGTATGCCTGGTTTTTACTGGATGCCAAGCGCTATGAATCCTAATGTGTTGGGTGCTGGATGTTTTTGTGCTTCTGTGAATACTCTTGAGCTCTGTTCTGGTGCAGGTGAGTTACTTGGAAGCACTTTGATCCTTTTAGGTCTTGTTTATGAACTTTGTCAGGCAGGCCTAGAGCAGTGCTTAACCGACAGCTGATCATTCCCCACCGTTGGACGAGACCCTCTGAGCACTCTGCCCTGTGAGCTGTGGGGTCTTCCAGTCTGGCTAGTGGAGACTGGAACAGTGTCTGACCCTGTGTACACTCAGGGACTGCTGTCTGATCCTTCTGGGTGGTCCTCTCCCTGGCCTGGAGGGACCCAGCTGTGTGTGCCTATGCAGCAGGGAGGACCCCATGGACAAGGAGCGTCAGCCCAGACACCCGAGACTTCAGTTCTGTCCCCAGGAGGGCAGACCTTTGTCCTAGTGATTTCTGGAATGTCAGTGGCTAGCAGCCTCCAGCCTCCATCCTGCTTGGAAACATCAGGGCCAGGTGTCCTAGTCAGCCAGGCTGCTCTGACAGGACATTTCACAGATAGAAACGTACTCCTCATGGACCTGGAGGCTGGGTGCCAGCACAGGGTTGGGGGCTCCTGTTGAGGACCTCCTCCAGGAGAAAAGGCTCCCTTCTGGGTCCTCGTGTGGCAGACAGAGTGAGCACAAGCTCTCCCCTCTTGTCCCTCTATAAGGGCACTAATCCCATTCCACGGCCTCATCCCCTCCTGAGGTCCCACCTGCTAATGCCACCACTTTAGGGTGTAGGTTTCAACATATGAATTGGGAGCGGGGTGAGGGTAGGGGTGGGGGGGTCAGTGGTAGGACAGAAACATTCCGTCCAGAGGACCTGGTCTCTGCTCTGGAAAAGTCCAACCAAAGATTTGGGGCTCCAAGTAGACAGATTGGTTAGCTCAGTCCTGGGATGTTACCCTCACCTCTTAATTCAACAAAGCCAGTTCCTAGGGATACAGAGACAAGGAAATCCCCTGCACATGAAGCCAGATGAAGCCCTGTCCCACCTGGCATTTCATCCAGAGCCAGCCTCCTGATGCAGGGAGAGGAAGAAGCTTGGCCAGGTCTTGCCGAACACTCCTGACCCTAGGCTGGCAAGGAAAGCCCAAGACCAGGGTCCCACAGGGCCTGGGGCCTTGAGAGGCCATGAGAAGGGAGGGTCAGGAGCTGGGGGTGCTGCACCTGGAGCCCGGCCAGCCCCTGGCCCCTAGATGTACCTGTTCAGCCCAGACCATGGCCAGCTCATATGTTGAGGGGTGGACACGAGGGCCAGAAGAGGACAGTGTTGCCTCCCCATACCCGGGGCTGCTGAGCCCTACCCCACTGTGCTGGACGGGCAAGGAGTCCTGGGGGAACCCTGGGTGAGGGGAGGGGTGCAGCTGGGGGCCCACTCATGGGTAAAGATGAGGAGGCAGGAAGTGGGAGGGTCCTCAGATGAGGGCAGCTCCCTTGCTGTGGGTGAGGTTGGGGATTGATGAGGGCCAAGCTTAGGGCTTCAAACTTCCAGCCCTGACCTACCTTTCACTGAGCCCCGCCTCCCTACACAGACCTGGGGGTTCCTGGCTTGCAGTGGGAGCCCAGGAGGAGAGCCTAAAGCCACCAGGTGGGTGTCCAGGTCAGGCAGGCCACCAGGAAGAGACACTTTTAAGGCAATAGCCATCAGTTGCTGTGGATGGCAGGGCCAGCTGAGGCCAGGCCACCCTGGGCAGTGGGCACTGGGGGTCTCAGCAAGGAGCATCTCCCACATCTGTCCTTGTTTGAAGTCTGGGGCCTGTGAATCCCAACCCCATGCTGTGATCCAGGGTGCCCTGTCAGTTACCGAAACATAAATGGCCCCAGCCATCCCCAGGAGCCACAGGGGTAGGCCTGGGCTGTGGCTGGTCAGCCCCTCCTGTCCCTGCACCCCCAGCTGGGGCCCACTGGGAAACTGCTTCCAGGAAGTTAGGCCAACCCACTGTGCTCATCACCATGGCTCTCACAGCCTCGTCACATGGTGGTGGTCCTAGGTGATGGGCACATGAATTGTTTGTTTATTGCTATTGTTACTAATATTTATTTTAACTTTTACATAAAACTTATTTATAGCTGCACAACAAATTAACCTAAGATTTAGCAGTTTAAAACAACAAACATTTATTATCTCATGCAGTTTCTGAGGGCTAGGAGTCCAGGAGCTGCTCAGCTGGGTGGTTCTAGCTCAGGGCCTCTCACGAGGTTGCAGTCGAGATGTTGGCAGCAAGCTGGGGCCTCACCTGAAGGCTCAACGGGGCTGGAGGACCTGCTTCTCAGCTCCACACTCTGCTGGCCTCTCCACAGCAGAGGACAGCTGGCCTCCCCTAGAGTGACAGATGTGACCGGCAGAGAGGGCCAGACCAGGATGTCCCTGCAGCCTCATTTTCTGCAGGACCCTACTGGTCACGGGCCAGCCTCCATACATGCGTTCACAAGGCTGAGCACCAGAAGGGGGGTCTTGGGAGCCTTCCGGGAGGCTGTCAATCTTGGGGCCTGCTTCCTAGCCCGTGGGTGCATCCCAAGATGGGTACATTCCGCAGGACGCCACGGAGCAGAGAGCGCCCAGGTACAGCTGCAGAACCCTTTGGGCTTAGCTTCCTCCCCAGGGAACTGGAGCAGGTCCTGAAGCCAGGGCGTGCCAGGGTGGGCCCAGGGAGGGGAGAGGCTGCTGGGGCCTGGAGATAATCAGGAGAACACAGGAGCTCTGCTGGGGGAGCTAAGGCCTCACCTCTCACAAGCCAGGGCTTCAGGCAGCCTCAGCCCCTCCCCCAACCCAAATTCCCAAGTGGCTGGAGTTTCACAGGCCTGGCCAGACTGACTTCTGTCACCATGGGGACAATTCTTTCTCCAGATTTCAAGCCCGTATGATTTGCTGTCATTGTCTGGTCCCCAGACCCTGACCCCACAGGCAAGACAGAGGAACCCAGACTCACAGGGCTCCAAATGGCTGAGCCACCCACAGGGGCAGGCAGATCACCTGACCGTGCATATGAATTCAGCAAACATTTATTGATCCTTGGTCCCCCGCCAGGAACTGGGCTGGAAGGAGGCCACAGATGAATGAGGCTCTGCCTGCCCCCAGAAGGGAAATGGCCTTCTCACCCTCGCCCTAGGAGGGGGAAGTCCTGACTCCTCCCCCTCCACACGTTGGCCAGGAGAAGGTGCCTCCTTATTATTCAGGGGGAAAGGTCTGCAAGACAAAAGCCAAGACAAAAATAGCTGGTGGGGGGGGTAGTGTTCAGAGGAATTACCCAGTACCCCCTGCGGAAGAGGAGGGAGCAGAAAATGGGTGGAAGATGGGGAGGGTGGGAGGGAGGAAGAGTCCCCTTCTCCTAGGACTGGGCAGGTGTCTAGGCTGAGTGTGGAGGGCATGGTTCCTTCCGCAGCTGGAGGAGCAGCCTAGGGAGGGGGCCCAAGACAGCCCCTCTGGCGCCTCCCTGTACTGCCCTCTGCCCTCACCCCAGGGGCCCAGCCTCAGCCTGGGCTGGGCCTCCTCCCACCTCCTGAGTCCTGTCAAGGACCACACCGTCTTCAAACCAGCTGGCTCCTCTTTCATCCAAGCTAATTAACTAGGTCTGTAAGGCCTGAGCTTCATTCCAAGCAAGTACCAGCCGGGAGTGAGTGACAGACATGGCCCTGGCCTCCTGAGCTCTCAGACCCTGGGGTGGCTGCCTCAGGCGGGAAAGGGGGGAGAGAATCCCAGGGGTCTGCTTACACAGGAAGAGACGGGGAGGAGCCTCCCTGTCAGGAAAAGAGTGGTTCCCTCAGAGCCTGAGAAGGCCCTGGGAGGCTGACAGGGTCCTCAGAGCAATGATCCTCTTGGCAACAGCCTCTTGAGAATAGAGTACCAGGAACAGGAAGTACAGGAAGCCAAGGGGGCCCAGCACCAGGACTGGGGTCGGGTCTAGAGCTGGCACCGCCCTCTGCCTGGAGGAGGTGGTGTGGAGACCCAGCTTCCAGGTGATCTTCCCAAGCAGCCCTTCTCTCTCTGGCCGCACAGCAGGGGCATTCCCTCTTACTCCAGCAGGAGGCGTGGAGTCCAGCTCTGGGCTTGTCCAGACCATCCCACCCCACCCCGCAAACCCACCTGCCTTCATATCTCAAAGCCCCAGGCCTTCCCCTCCTGCACTGAGATACCCCCTGAGCAGCTCCCTCCCCTAAATAAGCCGAGATCCCAGCTTCTGAAACGGACCCCCTGCAAGTCTCCAGCTGGAGAGGGCCTCTGGGGCAGGTTTGCAGCAACTCCCTCACAGTTCTACTGGTGACCTCGCTCTTTCTCTGAGCCTCCCAAGGGCCTGGACTGCTGAGTCAGTGTATGTCCAAGGGTGCAACATATGACCCACATAGCTGCCACTGTCCAGGACCACTGGTTCAGGCCCTGGACACTCAGGAAGATGGGCCAGGCAGGCAGAGAGCAGGGGGTGACCAGCTTGGTGGAGCCTTGGAGGGCCCTGCCAGATGTGCATGGCTGAGTCCAGGAAAGCAGGTGAAACTTGCCCAAGACACAAACCTGGGAGCTTCTGGAGCCACTGGAAGAGGGGCAGACCAGCCTCTGGCCGTGACTCACCCTGTTCCTCCTTGATGATCCCTGGCCAGGCAAGCGGCAAGCAAACACCTGATGAACTTGGCTGTGGTTGGAAAACAGATCTTGCCTCAGCCTCAGGAGGGCTCAGGATGAGACACTGCCGTCTCAGCTGTGTGACTCGGACCACTCCCTCATCACACCTGGAGCACAGCCCCCAGCAGGATCCTAGGGAGACCTTAGGCCATAGGACAGTGACTCCCGGGCCACTGTCCAACGTGGCCTAGTATCATTGCATTGTAGGGCCAACATACAGCTGGTGCTCAGGACGGATGCATAGCAGGACAACACCCCCGTCCCTTCCTGCGCGTAGGAGGACCTCCTCTCCCAGGGCAGAACAGGGCACACAGCAGGACTGGACTTTGGCGGGAGAGGAGCCCTAGCACTAAGTACCCTTTGTCATGCTGGCCCCAGTTCCCTGCCCCTGGGACTCAGATGCCCTCTCCTGGGCAGACACTGGCCTGGGGCAGGCCCAATCCACGGGTGGGTCACAGACAACTCTGAACTCAAGCACGCGATGGCAGGAGGTGGACCAGGCCAGCGCCGAAGCTTCAGGCACAGTCCCATCCCTCACCACAGGTCAGCACTGAGACAACAGTGGGCAGATATATGTCTCCACCTTCCAGAGTCCCCAGGAGTGGGAGTGGGGAAAGCTACTTTAAAAAAGGGACAACAACAAAAAAAAGCCCAGTTACGATGCGCGACTACTTCCAAACACTGGCAGACATTCTGGGAAAAGTGATGACTGTCACCTTCCTGCCTGAGCCCCCGCGAAGGACCTCTCACACACACCCAGCTCCCCACTTCCAGGCGGGTCGCTGCTCCAGCAAGGACAGATACAGGCAAACGCAACGCCTGGACGAACCGCGACGCCGCCGCATGCCTGCCAGGCACAGGTGGGAGCAGAAGAGCGGAGCGCGGGGGTGCCGCATGGGGAAGGGCAGCCCTCCCCACCAGCGCAAAGACAACAGCTGACCCCGGC